CAGTCCTTTAAATATCTTCATCCACGATCTAGACAAGGGGATCAAGTGTACCAAAAGTTCACAAATGACACAGATGGGAGGGAGTGCTGACCTGCTGGAGGCAGGGTAGCATACCTCCAAAGCCATTGGTATGAGGTTCAGCAAGGCCAAGTGCCACGTCCTGCACTCTGGTCACAACAAACCCCTGCTGTGCTACAGGCTGGGGTAAAAGTGGCTGGAAAGCTGCTCAGTGGCAAAAGCCCTGGGAATGCTGTTTGACAGCAGCTGAATATGAACCAGTGTGTGCTCAGGTAGCCAAGAAAGCCAAAGACATCCTGGCCTGTATAAGGATTAGTGAGAGCAGCAGGACCAGGACAGTGATTGTTCCCCTGTGCTCAGCACTGGTGAGGACATGCCTTGAATCCTGTGTCCAGTTCTGGGCTCCTCACTACAAGAAGGACATGGAGGTGCTGGAGTGAGTCCAGGGAAAGGCAGTGGAGCTGGTGAAGGTTCTGGAGCACAAGCTGATGAAAAAAGGTTGAGTTTAGCCTGGAGAAAAGCAGGCTCAGGTGGGACCCTATCACTCTTTACAATTACCTGAAAAGAGGCTGTAGACAGTTGTGGGGGGTTGGCTTTCTTTTCTCCCAAGTCACAAGCAACATAATGAGAGGAAATAGTGTCAAGGGAGGTTTAGTATGGGTACAGGGAATGGTTTTTCACTGAAAGGGCTGTGGAGCATGGGAACCGACTGCCCACGGCAGTGATGGAGACACCATCCCTGGTGGGACTTAAAAGATATGTAGATTTGGCACTTAGGGACATGGTCTAGTGATAGACTCAGCACTGCTGGACTAGTGGTTGGACTTAATGATCTGAGAGGTCTTTTCCAACCTAAACAATTTTCTGGTTTTATCTAAATTTATAGATCCATTTTTTTTAGCCACAATTTAATTTCTAGGCTTTGTTACAATGAAAAAACAATTTTGCTATGTTTGAGCAAGTATTTTAATGTTTTTCAACTAAAGAGAGGATGCAAACTGATTTTCAATCTTTGGCCCAAAGACAGCAGAAACATAACTAGTTCTTGAACTTCTCTTGATATTTCAGTGACCAAATATATTGTAAATACAGAAATCACTCACTTCTAGCACCCCAAAGACAAATTATTTTAACAAAAAAATGCACCAAGTATTTGCAGCATAGAGCTGTACCAAGTGTTATTATTACATTAATAGGAAACTATACAAAGGTGTACACAAAAGAACACATTCAATATGCATTCTTGATTTTTATATTACTTCCAAAGCATCTGCTCTTACTGTAAGTATAAGCATACTAATAAATGGACCACCTCTGATCTGATTCTGCATGCTTTTTATATGGTTCTTAATATGCCAAATTCTTCAAAACAGAAGACATGCACATCAAAAACACTGTGCAGAAATACTTTCGGACACAGTATTTTTTAACATGGTACTGCAGGGCCACCCTAATAATCAGAGCTGGAACACACAGCTCTCAAGAAAGAGCCAAAAGAACTGGGCTTATTTAGCAGAAAGTAATTCCTGAAAGCATTGGGAGAGCACAACAGCTTTTCAGAATCCAAAAGTGGGTTACCTAGAAGACTCTACTGAAGTACACAGTAAAAAAACAAAAGAGACAATGGTTATAAACCAAAACAATGGCAGCTCAGACTTAATATAAGGAAAAGATTTTCCACTATGAGGATAATTAACCTTTGAGCAGGTCACCCAGAGAGGCTGTGGAATTGTCAGCCTGTAGATTTTCATGATCCAGCTGTACAAAACCTTAAGCAAACTGCTCTGATCACAGTATTTGTTCTGCTTAAACAGGAGACTGATTGCTCAACAGATCTCCTGATGTCCACTCCAGAAGGAATAAGTGAGATTCAGACCAAATTCAACCCTTTCGTGGTGTGTTTCAGGACACTTGATTAAGGCCAAGCTGTGCTTGTATTTTAATTCAAGACATCTCCTTTAACTAAGCTACTTCATTTCAACTCCTGCAAGGAACATACTAACTATATGAATGCTACCATTCCTTACAGTTTTTTAAAGTCACTTTTGCACAATAGCAAATATGACTCTTTCCAATGTTTCAGAAACAGAAGAGAGTTATGAAAATATGCCATTTGAGCACAGGTTTAGCATCAATGACTTATTTAGGACATCAGACTTATGTTTATCACAACTTTTTAACTATGTGCATTAAAAAGAAACAGATGAAGCAGCAGTAAAGAAGCGCTGAAACAGAACATGAATGACTTTAAACCTTAATACATTTCTTATGCTACATATTTTCCATCTCTAAGGGTTCTCAAAATTCATGGTCTGAAGGAAGATGGAAAGTATAGCAGCAGCTATTAATTTATCTATTGGCCTGGAATAATCTTCAAGTTGTAGTTGTGAATCCACAGTTCTAAATTCACATTTAATGTACGTCTGCACTCTGACTCCCAAATTTTTTCAGTATCTTTTCCAGAATATTGATAATTCTCAGGACTGGAGACACAGGAAAGAACTGTACAATGGACCTTAAACTGAGCTTCTAGCATTTAATTCTAGCACATATACTGAATTTGAATAATAAAATTTTGAATAAGCATCACAACTGGTAAGTATACTCAAATTTTAAACCCATTTTGAAGCCAAAATGGAAGATGCAGATTCACATAAAGAATAATCAAAATTCTTTCCCCATAAATAGTTAAATAATATTCCTAAATCCATAAAAGAAAGATTAACAAAAATGATTAACAAAAACTGTGCAATTATTTTACTCTTTTATTCTTTTAAAGCAGGCTTAAAACATGAAACAGGAGCCCTGTAAACATATGCGATCCGTACTGGATTCAGTTTTACCCTGAAAACTACTGAGATTTCTTTGTAACCTGTAGGAGTCAAAACTGTACTTCAGGAAGAAGTCTGCATCTTACAGTTTCAAGATTTAAAATCCATCCTGCATCCTACACTTTGGAAATACCCTGGCAAATAAAGTAGAATTGATAGTCAAAACTGAACCCCTTAAAATTAGGTTGCCAGAACGCATATAGAATAGATCTTCGACTTAATCCCACCTACATTGAGAACAGTTTATTCTGGAACTAGACCTAATGTATCTCCCCAGAACAGATTGGAAGGATTAGACTTATGCAAGCTTTTGGTTGTTTTTCCTCCACTACAGACAACTGTAAAAACGTAATACACTTCGTTTGTAAAAATATTAATTTCTGAATTACTGAACAGAAAAAAAAATCCTGGTATAATTCATAACAGAACCTCCCATGTCACCAGGTGTTAAAATCCATAGTCAAATTAAAACAAAGGAATCTCTCGCTGGATCCAGGTAGGTGTATCAATCACACAAATATGACTCTCTCTACAAGGAGTAAACTTTGAGTGTATCTGAAGAGTCCATGGAACCAGCCAGACACATATATTGCGAGGGACACAGGACAGCCCAAAAGGTAGCGTGCCCCTACCTCCCCTCTTTGGACCCTCTTCAACACTATATAAAACTCCAACCACACCCACCCATGATGTCACTGCCATTACACAACCTGTCCCCCTCCGTGCCTGTCTGCTTATGCAACTCGGCCCGGCCTGCTGGGAATTGTCTTGGTGACACTTAAGACTGAAAATAGGTCTCTCTCTCAGGAAACAAGGTTAAATACACCAGCGGAATTTCTCTTTGCCCGCGCGCAGCGATTACCCAACACGAAACGAAGCAGAGCCCACAGCCTCTGTAAACAAGTCCAGCAGGAGCGTGCGGGGGGAGACACGAGGGAGCCGGTGCGGGACGCTCCGCACGCCTCCGGAGTCAGCACAAGCAGGTGTACCCCACTACCGGCCTGGGCGCTCTACCAAGCGCCGGGCAGCCGCACTCCCCTCCCCTCCGCTCTCCCAGTGGAGAGCTTCCTCGAATCCCTTCAAACTCGGGAAAACTTCGGACGCTCTACACCGGCCCGTGTCGGTCGCTGACGGTCCCGCACTCGGGGATAAGGGCACATCCACCGACGCCCCCGCACCCGCAGCCCCACCAGCCTGCCGCCCCGGGCTGCCAGCCCGTCCCGATCCCGCCGGGACACGGGCGGCAGCGGCGGAGCCCGCGCGGCTCAGGCGGGCGGCCCGGGCTCAGGAAGGGAGCGCTCCCCACCGCCTTACCTGCTCGCAGAGCCTGGTTGACGGCGCCCAGCGCCTCTCGGAAGCGGCCCTGGGTCAGCAGCTCCTCCAGCCGAGTCCCGGCCCTCGCCCTCTCGCACTCGCCCGGGAACCACTTCTCCGCTAGCCGGTTGAGGACGACGCTGGTGCGCAGCGGGGCCGCGGCCGTGCTGGTGCCCCCCGCAGGCAGCAGCCAGTCCCGGCAGCGGCGGCAGCGGGCCCGCAGCTCCCTGCGGAGGCAGCGGCGGCAATAGGTGTGCCCGCACGGGACGGTCACCGGCTCGCCCAGGAACCTCCCGCAGCCGCAGCAGCGCAGCGGCCCCTCGGCCCCGCGCTCCCGGCCCCGGCCCGGCCCCTGCCGCAGGCGGTAGTTCAGCACCAGGCAGTCCACGAGGGTCCCGAGGCGCTGGGCTCCCCCGAAGGGGCCGAGGCACAGCGACGCCAGGGACGCGCCCACCGCTTCCTTCAGGCGGCTCGCGGGCACCAGTCGCGCCAGCAGCAGCTCCCGCTCTTCGTCCGCCCCCTCGCCGGGGCCCCCGCTGCCGCCCGGCTCCGGCGGCAGCTCCGAGCCCACGGTGGCGGCGGGAGAGGACGCTGCCATCGGCTGCGCGGCTGCGGCGAAGGGGGTGTGGCGCTCCCGCTCCGGACGCCGGGATGGGCTCCGGGCCGGGCGCGGGCGGGAGGCGGGGGGAGGTTACAAAACACCGCTCCACGCGCGCGCCGCCAACGGCGCGGGGTCACGTGGGGGGACGGGGCGGGCCCGTCCGGGAACGCCCGAGCCCAGGGGCGGTGGCGCCCCGGAACCCCCGCGGCCCGCCCGGCACCGGGGAGGGGGGAGCGCCCCGGCCGGGCCGCGGGTGGCTGGCGGGGCGAGAGGGACAGCCCTACGGCTTCACTCCTAGGAGCGGCTGCCGTGGTGAGGGTCGGGCGTTAGCAGGGCTGAGGGGGAGGCAGGGATAGAGGGACGGAGCCGCCGGGGCGGGGAGAGGGCTTGCAGCGGGGGGTCTGTAGCTGCCGTGGTCCCGGAGCCATCACCGGCGGGTGCTCGCCGCCCTCTCCGCGGCTGCCACTCGCACTCGTCTTGGGCCGCTCGGGCTGGCCCCTCTCCCTTCTTTGTTAGTCTTTTAGTGGAGGACACGATAAGATAAAAGTTACAAGGTGAAGGAAAAGCTCTTTGTCCTTAGGGTTTGTTCCCCCCTGTGTCGCCGTGCGTTGCCCGCGCTCGCAGGACGGGCCGGACGCGCCCGCTGCTCCCCGCGGTGTGCCACAGCCGCGGCTCTGCGGAAACACCTGAGCTGCTTCGCCTAAAGTACCCACAGCGGGGAAATGCTCCGGCTGCCCAGGTGTATGCCAGCCTCCAATGAAAGCTTGAAGACTATTGCATAAGTGTTATGTATTTATAATTATTACAGTGCCTTTTTTTAACGTTAGATGGCTGTCATAAATCCAGACGTTTCAGATAAATATAGCAGTACCTTTAAAACCTTCCAGGCAAAGCTTGCACATCAGGAAAATTAATATATGGCCTTACAATGGGAGCAAACTATATTTATCTTCAGCCGTATTCCGTGTATGGCAGGCTGGAAGATGATGCTAAAGGTTGTTAAGAGAGCTGTAGGCAAAGATGGCATGATTGGAAATAACCAGACACATCTGCATTTCCATCCAGGTGTTTTATCTGACCTCAACTATTCTAAGCTTCATCCAGTGGTTTTCAAGTTCCTAAAGTCAAAGAAAAAAGATGTTATAGTAATTGAAGCATGAGGGGACCATGGTCTCTTACAGTAATAAATTAAAAAATTGAGTGAGTTAGGAAGTTACTGTCTAAGGATCAAAGTAAAATAGATAGCTGCAGTGTGAACTTGAGTTGTGGTGGGAAGTTGTGAATTGCTTTGCATTATTATGAATGGTTTTAATGGATTACGGATTCTGGTGTCGATGTGTCAAGCGTGAGTTGTCCCTCACAAAATATTTGACTTGGCCAATTTGGACAAAAGTAAAACTCTGAAAGAAGTACTGTTAAACAGTAGTTTATTTTGCATTTCAGATTAGATTACTCATGGAAATACAAAAAAAAAAAAAAAAATAGGACAAACCCCAAGGGCTTGTGGGATTGGAATTGGGATAGTAAGGCTGTCCTCTGATGGAACAATTTAAAACAGCGTAAATGAAAACATGTTTCCACTACTGCCACTTCCAATGATTCCTATAAAAGTTCATACATTAGTGATTCAAGCAATGATGAATGCAATCAATGCAATCAGCTATTTTACATAATTTCCAGTGTAAAGGCAGAAAATACTCATGTATTTACTGGCATTAGCATCTTGGAGCAGAAGAATTGAGGTTTTTCCTATCATCTTTCTCTTCAAAACTGAAACAGTGAAACAAGGGATTTGAAGTAGGATGGGTGAATAGATGGGTTGGGAGCCTGATATTTTTTATTGCTCTCACCTGTTGTAGAAATATCTGGTATCTGGGAGATTATTTACAAGGAAGCTAGAGAATATATTCACCTCCTCCTTAGTCCCTGGGCATTACTTTTTATCCCTGCTGGAAATGATGCTGGGCCCAGTTAGACTGTGATATTGCCCAGTGTTGGCAGTCTTATATTTTTGAACTACAGTTGATTCTTTGAGCTTTGGTTTTGGTGTATTATTCCACCTTTGGCATATTTAACTAAGCAAGAAAAGAACCCTCAAATTTCAAGTTTTTCACTGTGTTACCATCAGGATGTGATAGTTATGTACGAGAGGAAGAAAAGACATTTTCCAGATTAGATAACACGCAGCTCCACCACCACTCCATTAAAATAGCACACTCAAAAATCCTTCCCCCCCCTCCCCAACTTGTAGGGTCAGATAAATGATATTTTAAAAAACAAAGCCTTGCCATGGCACAGCTCATGTGGGCCATTCTAAGAAAGACTTCAGGGACTGTCCTTTCCCTTCCTGCTGTAGAGCAGCATTGTACTGCTGGTGTTGGGAGTTGGTGGTTCTGATTCAGAAAGGTGCCTGCAAAGCACTGTGCCTTCAGTACAGTGGGGTAGAAGTAATTCCTTTCTTATGCTTTTTAAGGTATTTTGGTTGGGTGTTTTTCCAAGCAATTCCTGTATGAATAATGCGTGCAACCCAATTAGACATGAGATGACAATAAAACAGTGGTTTAAGTTGTATTTGACCCTACTTTAGGTAAATTAGGCACAATGATTCTGATTGAAGATCTTCAGAAATCAACAGCAGTATAAACAAAGTAAAGCAAGACCAACCCAGATTGGGGAACAGGAAATGGACCCAAAAGTGAATACCTACGTGCTGGAAATCTGGAGCCAAGCCCCATTTTTACAGGCTCTAAGCAAATACCCCACAAAAAAGTAGTTAACCCAAAGGATGTGGTTGTATTCTAAAAGAAATAATGGCTTTCTGGCTGTTTCTCCTCTTTTTCTTTGAAGCTAGATGCTAGTTACCCAGCTATTGTAATTTTTTGTAAAGATATGAGTAGCAAAGGCAAAATAAATAATTGGGGAAAGATTAGATTGGGCAAATAAGAGTCATACTTAAGAAAACCTTAATATTTGTGAAAACTATTTGTTCTTCCAAGAAACACTTAAGTATCATTTCTTCTAGGGGAAAAAAAACCCAACAAAAAAGGAAATATCAAGCAATATTGAAAATTCTTGAATGGCTTTTGAAGACCTTACCTGATAATGTTTGAGTTCCTTCAGCCTTGGTTAAGAAATAATGTTCAGAGCTAACTATGATTTGTTTTGTTTTCGGTTTTCATTGTTGTTAAGTAGAATTTTGTGGCTCTAGTGAGATAGTTCTGGCAGAGAGATTTTTAAATGGAAAAATCCTCAGCATCAGTGCAGTAAAACAGACACTAATCCTTGTTTGTGCAACGCAATGGTGGGCAAAAGTTGGTTTTGAATTTATTTTTTTTTCAAGTTAGGAGTGGTCAAAAAGCTGCATTTGCAGCTTGACCTCAAAAGTTAAGTTATGGTGAGCTGAAGAGGGCTGGACTGTCAGGAGTACTGTGGCCAGGAGGACCAGGGCAGGGATTGTCCCCCTGTACCTGGCACTGCTGCCACACCTCGAGTGCTGTGTCCAGTTTTGAGCCCCTTCCTACAAGAAGGACATTGAGGTGCCTGCACAAGACCAGAGTAGGACAATAGAGCTGGTGAAGGTCTGGAACATAAGTCCTACAAGTAGCTGAGGGTACTAGAGTTTGTCCCAGAGAGTAGTCCTTCCAAAAAGAAAAGAATTTTAAATGAACAAGATTTATTTTAGATTCTTTCTTTTGGCAAAGGCAAGAATTCTAGCATTTTTATGAAATGTGTTAAATGCAGTGACTTCTGCTGCACAAAACCAGGTTTTAGCTGTCTAAATAAACTGCTAATTAACAAACAGTCAAATGCTTGTTGGGATTTCCCTTCAGTTCAGCATGAAATCTGAATTCTGCTTCATAGCCTTATGTATGGCAATTGCCAGTGGATAAAGGAAAAGACTGTGGATGTGGTCTGCCTAGACTTTAGTTAAGCCTTTTACACTGTTTCCCACAGGCTTCTCCTGGAGAAACTGCCTGCTCATGTCTTGGACAGGTGCACCGTGTTCCTGGCTGAAAAGCTTTCTGCATGCCAGGCCAGAGAGTGGAGGTGAACCGAGTGACATCCACCTGGCAGCCAGTCCCCAGTGGGGCTCCCCAGGGCTCAGTAGTGGGACAGGTTTGGTTTCATATTTTGATCAATGCTCTGGGGGTAGGGGTCAGTCTCTTCTCCAAGAAACAAGCAATACAATGAGAAAATGGTCTCAAGTTGCCTGAAGGGAGGTATAAATTGGCTATAGGGAAAACTTTCCTTACTGAAAGGGTGGTCAAGCATTGGAACAGGCTGCCCCAAGCAGTGGTGGACTCACCATCTATGGAGGGGTCTAAACCACATTAGATGAGCCAGTTAGGAATACGGTTTAGTGGTAGCCTTAGCAGTGCTGGGTTAACAGCTGGACTTGTTCTCAAAAGTCTTTTCCAACCTAAATGATTCTGTAGTCCTACGTCTTCATTTTTGGTTGAATTACAGTTTTGGAGGTGTCTGCCCACTTTGTCAAGAGAGCCCTGAGGAGCTCACTCCTGCTGGGTGATTTTGCATATGGGGCAGTGCCACCCAGAACCCAGGAGATGCTGGTCCCCCTTCCTCTTTCCCAGTTACCAGAATGCTAGCTTGTCTGTGGTGCTGACAAGTCTCTTCTCACCTCCAAAAACAACTGTTTTATGTCTTAACCAGAGACTTCTTGTCTTCAGTAGATCCAATGACACTTCTGAGATTTGTCTGTATGAGATTTCTTTCACTTTCATGATGATGATGATGGCAGCAATACTTGTCTTAAAAATACAAATGACAAAGGTTAGAGTGTATAAAAGGAAAGAAAGTTTAGAGCAGATTTTAACTAAAGAGATAAAGTCTCATCTAGGGGAGGCTGAGCTGACTAAGTTTCCAAATGTGACAGAACTGACAGCCATGACCGTCAGATGATCTGGGAAGAAAATCTGGGACACTGGCTGAAGATCAGCAAGCACAGTATTGCTTACAAGAACAAAGAAAAAGGTGTTCACCAAGTATACACAATGAAGCTACCTCAATAGTACATTGGGGATGTAGAACACATTTTTGAGTGAAAAACTAATGAGAGACATGAAGCTAACATAAATACCATAACACATAACCCTTGAATTTACTTAACATAGACTAAAGTCAACCTAACTAGGTCTGCTTTTGTTCTTGTAATGGAAATTATATTCTGCAGTCAGTGCTCAGGCTCTCATCTCTTAGGACTCGAGTAAAGCAGATGATATAATGAGCCACGTGGAAAATTTTGACTAAAACAGAGTAAGGTGGAATTGCTAAATAGTTGGCAGGTCCGAAAGATCCTGTTAAAAGCCTATGGAAATGGACCATGAGATAGGAAGAGCTTCCTGTCTGGAACACACTTCAAATGCATTTTCTGAGGATCAGCTTTAGTACTAATTTTAGTTGATATTTTCATCAGTGACCCTGGCACAAAAAGACAGGAAATTGATCTTTTGGTTTGGCAGCAAGTAAGAAAGTGATGTCAATAAACTGAGGAGAAAAATGTCAGACAGAAAGAAACCAACCTGCGTGACTACTGGGATAGTAGGAATGGAAGAATTGTAGTCATGCAAGTGTCAAACCATGTACATCTATTAAGTAAAAATATTGCTAGATCCTGAGAGTTTATTAATGGGAAGTGATAGAAGATGAGAAAGAACAGGAAGTTATAAAAAAAAAAAAACTGATATAAACCTAGACTTTTTTTTTTCCTGTTGAGGTAAGAAATTACTCATTGTGCTGTACGTGACTCTTGTGAGCAGAGTCACACAATAGACAGTTCTGGTCAGGTTATTTGTAAAAAAAGAGGAAGTATAACTAGCTGAAAGAAGAAAAGGATAATTTGGAACAGATTTACCATGCAACAATAATTGAAGAAATGCTTGCTTCCCCCACTGTCTTGCCAAAATGAGGATGGAGAGGAGACATGATTGCCCTATGTAAGTGATTTATGAGAACAAATAGCAAGTGGCACATAAGAAAAATCAGGAATTAAATTACTCAAAGAAATTCAGGTTAGGAGAATACTTCTTAGAATCTGAAGTGACATTATGGGATGGTTTCTGAGAAACAGTGGGAGGATTTACAGGCTGTCAAACAGTGCTTCTAATGCCAGGACAGGGATTACGTGGCATGCTAAACTGTTATAGCAAGGGACTGGGTTCAGTCTGAAGAAAAGAAAACAGTTAATCAGTAGGAAACAAGTTAGTAAACAGAAGAATAATTGACAAATTGCTATCTAAACTTTTCAACTATCAAGTCCACCCCTTAGTCTCAGTCATTGTTACACAGTGAATGTTTCAGAGTCTCTCTTCTCAGCAGGACAATGAAGGAATGGTTGCAAACTCATAAGGACCACAATTGAAATATCCTCCAGGTCCCTGGAAAAGATACAAACTCACTTAGGGAAGAAGACTTTGGAGAAGTGTGAGGGAAGGAGAGGGAACAACTTCTTCCTTTGAAAGGCAGCAGGAATAAGGCATCCTAACCCTGTGCTCAGGTTAGGATACCCAGCACACTGGCAGGACCGACAGAGAAAGCAGCTGCTGTCAGTGCAGCAAAATATCCATACCCACCTCGTGGAGCCATAGAGAGGCGTGTTAGCCACTACTTCCATGGTTGCCAAAATTGGGTGGGGAGAGAAAGCAGCAAAATCCAAGTTTAGCCACCTTGAGCTTTCTCTAGTAGCACTCCAGAGGAAGTGCTCATGGCTGCTGCCCTGCCTCTGCAAACCATGCATGGCACTGGGAACTTCCCAGGGATTGTGACTATTTAAACCATTACCTTTTACTGTTCTGCCATTCTCACTGCTTTAGCTGAATTGGGCATGTCCCTCTTCAGGTGGATCCAGTGAAGGACAGAACAGGCCATGCTTTTATACCTTTGGTGATTGCTCTATGTGGGAAAAGACCAGTTGAGCTGAGGTTGAATCCTCTTATGGGAAATGAGCTTATTACTACTGATAAAAAGTTTTGTTAAATACCATTTAATTATTTTTTTAAAATCCATACACAAGAAACTGGCAAAACTCCAGTATAAACAGCCCTGTGAAAATGGCCATGTCAAAACCTTTCTGAGACATTTGACATCTCTCTAATAACATTTTTTGTAATTGTTTCAGAAGGAAAGTGTGCAACATAACAACCTGCAAACAGTTTATACATAGTCATGCCTTCCATGTGTTGACTACTGGGGAACAGTTTCATAGTGCTTCACATTATAAATTGTTGCTTATTTACCATGCCAGTTGGTGGCCAAGGTAGCTTATGTGAAATGGATTTGCTGTTTCTATTACTGTTAGTTGAAATTTTCCAGTGAAACGTTTTCTCAAATTAAAAGAAAAAGAAAAATTACCCATCCATCAGCAAGGCAATGCTTTGTAGAAGAGTATTTATTCAGATAATTTGACAAAACATGGGTAAGTTTTTATGAGAAGCATTTTCCAAATATGCATGAAGACAGCACTGGTGGTTTCTCTATATTTCCAGAATAGCTGTACCATGGGACTAGTCCCCACATGCCTCTGATCTGGTAAAATCCCTCTTGTGGAACGGAGGAAACTGATTTTGGGAAATCCATTTCTTGTCAAAGGTCAGCTCCTGGCTCCATAGCAAAAGCCTTCTGCCATGTGTCTGTAGCTGCAGTTAAAAAACTTCCAAATTCCTACTGAATCAGCAACCAGGACCTTGCAGTTCTGGCTTCCAAGCCTCCTCACATAAAAACATGATATGCAAAATTAGTAATGATATGTATATATTAGAGAAAATCAAGTTTTTCTTGAGAATCTACTGTAATTTCCAACTTCTAAAAGCAGATCTGTTTAGAAAAACTTTTTTACTTTTTCATCCATGAATAAAAATATTTTGCCTCAGCTTTATGGTATTTATTTTTTCCTAAAGTAGCTAAAAGTCATTAAAATTGATGCTTGATGTTTGAGTCACTTCAGCCCTGGCTAAGAAATAATGCTCAAAACCAACTTGGTTTTGTTTTGTTTCAGTTTGTTCTGTGTTGCTTAGTAGACTTTTGGGGCTTTAGTGAGATAGTTCCAGCAGAGAGATTTTTTAATGGAAAAATGCCCAGCATCACTGCAGTTAAACAAACACTAACCCTTGTTTGTGCAACACAGTGGTAGACAGAAGTTGGCTTTGAATAATTTTTAGTTATGAGTGGCCACAAAGCTGCATTTGCAGCTTGGTCTCAAAAGCTAATTTGAGCTGAACAAAGCTAGACTGCTACCACTATCTCTAGCATTACTGTGCAACACTGCAGTGAGAATTTTCCAAGGGATCTTAATTCCCTTTGAGAAAATTTGAGCTATCAATTCTCAGTACTTTTGAAAGAAACCAGCCCAATAGTGTGTCATTTAGTTACACGGTAATTATGTATGCATTAGTATGAGACAAAATGACCAAACATTGGATAAATAGTTAACTACATGTTTAAAAGATAAAGATCTCATTAAAAATAAAAAGGGAGGCAAAACATAATAGGATCTAAAATACTTAGGTAAAGACAGAGAGAGAGTTTATCAGCTTGATCCAATAAGGGACTTAAATACCTAAGGCAAGGTTTATGGAGAATTCAGGTTCCTAAGTCAAAAAATGAGATCAACAGCTCATGTAGCTGCTGCCTAACCCAGGAGTGCCTAAAATGACCAGGCTCTTCCTTGATTGTAATTATATCTTTAGAGTGTCTCAGATTTTACTTTTGTGCACAGTCAGTGTGCAGCAGCTAGAGCAGTTCAGGCACTTATTTCACATTCAGCCATTTGCAGTCCTTGGCTGAAAAGTACAAGGATGCTCTTCTGTCAGTGTACACAGGCCACACCAGGCACAGAGTCACATTCTGAAATTTGTTCTAATTGCTTACTTTTAACGTGAAAGATGGGAGAGGTGGAATAACCTTTCATTTAACAATCTCTCTGTTAGATTATTGATACAAGGATAATTCTTGCACATCATTTCTGTTCCTACAGACGGCAGAATTCTTTGCTTCATTGTGGCATGACTTCTAACAGGAACAGGACAGGATCATCTTTGTTTTCAGTAGCCCTGTCTCTTGCTGGGTAGGATCACTTTTCTGCCCTGTGTTGATTTGCATCTTTTGTGTTTAATGGAGAAACACAGACAATGGGTTGCTGTATAGGAGGCGCTTGTTTTCTCATTTCCTTCTGTTACCCTGGCTGTGATTTAACAGAACACTACAAGCCCTGCTCCTCATTCCTTTTTCTTTTTTTTTAACAGAATGGTAATTGGATCCTACAGTTAGGAGGACTCTAAGCTGTGAATTTTAAGCATGCTGTGTTATCTGTGTTTTGGCCTGACTTAAGTTTCTAAGGAATTGCAATAATGCTGCTGCATTTCTGGGGTTTGGTAAGTCTGGTAATTACACTTTGAAACTGTGGAACTGACTATCCTGAAAACACTAATAAGTGGAGTCTCTCATTTCCCTGTTTTCCTGTTCATCATTTTTTTTCTTTTCCCGTATGTGATAATATGTGGTTGTAGATTCTAAAGTGTAGCTGAATGCTTCTACATGTGCAAGGCAACAAACTTAAAAATGTGATCAAGAAGGTCTTATTTTAAATTATTCCAGCTTTAAAAAGTAACTTAACTCCAGATATGACATGAATCATATTTGTCTTTTCGTCAGGAAGAGAAACCTTGGACTGATCAGACTCTTTCCTTCAGCCATTGTTGCTTGGTAGGAAAGGTGCATATAATCTACAGATTTATAAAATAGCTAAATATTCACTGGAAAATGTGCTCCTATCAATATAAATTATAATTGTTCAAAGAGCAATGCACTTACAGTGTGAAGTACTAAATTTAAAGAAATAAAGTGCAGGAGCTCTTAGTGCAGAACTGTAACTGAATAATGAACAGAGACTGAAATAATAGCACAGGAAATACTGAAAAGGCTTCAATTAAAGTAGGCTTTTTTTTTTTAAATTAAACTTGCTCGTTAAGGAAGTGTCAAAAAGCAAATAAGTCAGCCTTTTTTAATGTTTATCAGTATGTTTTCCTTCAGCTGACAGTTGTTGGCTAATGTTGAATATCTCACAAATTTTTTCTGAGTTTTTATGTATTCACTCTACAGAAAAAGTACAGGCTGATTGTTTAAAAAATAATGTATAGCAAAAGAAAAGGTAATGATTTTGGACATGTGTTCTATATTCTAACTTGGTATTTAAAGGACAATTTATGTTGGTATCTGTTTATATATTCTCTAACATTTTCTAATATATTCCCTGATAAAATATATATATTCTCTAATATAAAGCTGAATGTTTTGCATCTCTTTATAATCATCCTCTGAGATAAATAATATTGAGATTCATTTGGTGTTGAATACAGTTTCCAAATGAGAGCCATCTCTTTGAATTTTTAATAATTATTGCTCTTCATTCTTATACAAGTAAAAAAGGGGGAAATTACAGTTATTGTATCATATTTGCATTAAGGTATGCCTGTATTGTAAAATCAAATCTTCAACCAAAGTAGAAGGAAGGAAAAAAGCTTATTATGCTTGATACCTAGCCTCTTGGAAAAGAACCTTTCATTTCTGGGTGGTCAATAATAAATGCACAATTAAATTCAGAGTTTCAGTCAATTAAAGTACATTTTAAGAAATGCATATAGAAATCAGAAAATACTTGGCAGCCTACTTACAGTGGTAACTGGAGGAAAAAGCCCTTCATTTGTTATTACTGTATTGGACTGCTGCTAGTATGAGATAAATTGCTGAGTCTAAATAAATCTAGATAATGATATAATAGTTAGCAATCTTTTAAAATTCTGAAGGAGTTGTTAACTTTACAAAATTTGTGTTTACTTATTCTTCTTAGGTTAGCTCTTTAGGATCAGAGGAGCAATTGCTCCTTGTGTTGTAAATATTTCTCATTCATAGAGTTCCATAGAGTTTTTTCGTGTATATCCACTTTTTCCTTGTCTGGTTGGTGTCCTTCCTTCAGAGGTTTTAGACCACTGGGCAAATATTTTGTACCAAAGAGAAAAGGAATTACATTATTTTTCTTCAAAACTCTGTGACTAAAGCTCTCTACTAAATATAATGTTATGTAAAGAACATGAGCTGAAGAAAAAGCAGTTACTTTTATCACAGTGGCAGAAGACATCTAATGAAATCACCTTATTGGCAATAGTTTACCTTTTAGCAGCAAAATGGATGTTACTGCTTATTCTGACTATTCAATATTCTTTTTCTACTTTGGCTTGTACCTACTACTGTAACCCATGTCCTGTTTGCTTCTTGAGCATCAGCAGCATCACCCAGCAGCATATTGTGTGCTGTAGGCTGAGATATCACAGCCACATCTTTTCAGATCTTCTCTTTCACGTCTTCTCTTCTCTCCTACAAAGGTGCTACAGGAAATGTACACCTTTATTTTACTCCTGCCAGAGACACCAGATAAGAGGGTTCCATTGGGATACCATTACTCTCCATTAGACCAATGTTTTTCAATGGAGCACAGGATCATACAGGAGAGAAGTGAGCACTCAGATTCTTCATTTCAGCATGATTGTGTAAAGAACACTATGTTTCAGTCTTTCTCCCACCTATATGTTGCTTTCACCATGTTTATAGAAGAAAATAATTGAGTATCTGGTCTTTGGCTGTTGTCCACAAAGACTCTATCTAGAGACAAAATAAGACTTCATTTAATTTTTTTTCCATTCCTGAAAATGCAGTGCAATATTTTTTAAAATTCAAATGTATATTGAACATAATTTGTCCATGCAGTTCTAACAAGTTTCAGCCATACTGAGTCTAGGCTGACCACAGTTATTCACAGGAGGTTCTGTGGTAAGTAGCCCATCCCAAAAGGATTCTGTGTGATGTGTTCTGTCCTTGTCATACTGTATATAACCATTACATTTTAGGGATCTTTTTTAGTGATTTGCATCCCTCAATTTCTGATTGCCCAGGAAAGGTTTCACAAGAGCTGAAAGACTGTGATAAGCCCATGCATATGAGAGTATTTTTTAAATCAGATATTTTATTTATCTTCATATTTCTACCTCTAGTAAAAAAAAACCAACATTTTTTTTTCCAGTGAACAGCTTATCCTGCTGTTTTACATGGGTTTGCTGATGTGCTGGATCTGTTTTACATTTGTGTTTGGCTCTGCTGGTATTGGTAGATCACCTGAGAGCCCTGCCTTACTCCCAGTTCGTGCTTGCCCTTCACTGGAGAGCTGCAAACCTGACAAGCTGTTGCCATCATTTTTCTTTGTGACATTCTGTAGAGCCTTCTTTTTAGAAAGTGCTTGGTTTGTGTCCTGGGGCTCTCAGCTATGGAGATTTGATGTATGGCTCACTCTTTCAAGTTTCATGGTTCCTGTAATATTTAATCCTCCTGCTGGTACTGATTTAAAACCTCAATTCCTGGCCATAAAATTAAGCCAAAAGTTAACTATGTAGACTAGATATTAGACTAGATATTTCTATTAATTGTAGAAATAGAAGCTGCAACATGTTTCTCTTTGTTGTTTTTAAACATTGGAATGGACTGCTGAGGGAGGCAGTGAAATCACTGTCTGTGGAAGTGTTCAGCAAATGACTGCATGGGGCACTAAGTGCCATGATATAGTTGACAAGGTGGTGATCAGTCAAAGAGGTTGGACTTGATGAGCTCAGAGATCTTTTCTAACTTACATGATTCTGTGATTCATTAAAAAAATATTTTCAGAGGTTTTTTTTCTTGGTACCTGGATCACCTTAATAAAAATGGTTTGCGGAAAACTGATATTCACAGGACTAATTCCTGGGGGTAACAGTCTCAGTATTTTTTACTTCTGCAACACCATTAACAAAATTAATAGTTAGGTCAGTAATTGATTTCAGGCTTAAAAGCAGGTTACAATTATTGTAGGGCTGAGTCATGTCTTAGACATAGTAGCTAAGTAAACTGTTCTGGTAAAGTAAACAGTAATACATCAGAACGAAGGTTTCTGAATAAGCTACTTGCTGATAAATTACAGCATAGCAGAGCTTGTCTGTCAAGAATGAGAAGCAAAGAAGGTGTCAGCCTATAGTCTTTTTTTACCCAGAAGCCTTTCTCATTGTAAAAAATACATTTCTTACAATACATTGTAAGAAAAATACCAGGTATTTGTAGAGGGAAGTTTAATAAGTAATTATTGGGAAGGAAGAAGCGAAACTGAAGGTATATTTTACAAAGACATCCTACATGTATATTTACATAATGGGACTGAGTATATTTATACTAATGGAACTGAGATGTCCCTCTTTTCCTTGAAATCACCTCTTTGCCAGTGGTGTAAAGTTGGCAAGTCATGGATGTTGCTGCTTTCCTACTTTCTGGCGTCACTTAAAGAAACATATAGGTTGTGTTCAGATTGTACCATAGCTCAGATATCCCTGTGTCCACAGCCTTTTTGGGAGCACAGTGTTAACTGTAAGCAACCTCTGATCCTTCCTTTCCTGGCCCAGATAGAAGCATATGAATGATAATATGCATCAGTAAATTTGAAACAAGTCTTCAGTCTTGGTACTGCTTCATTTTGCAATGATGACCTCCTTTCTGTAGATCTCAATAGAAAGATGTAATGCCTGTATCAGTTCTTACTGCAAATAACAGTTTCTCCATGGAATGACTATATTAAGAAATCTCACTTTGAAATGACAATTTTACGGTGATTTACATAAGAAATAACAATGCCTATAGTTAGATTGATTGTTGTTTTGAAGTAAGGACGTTGTTGTCTTAGAAGTTTGAGTTACTTGATTTTTTTAAAATTTTAGTTTTCAGAATACTGGATTATACCTTCTCTTCCACTATTGCTTCTACTGCATATCTTATTCCTACAATTCTCATATTATTATTCTGTTAAAATAAAATATATACATGAAAATATATGTTTGTACCCGTGAACAAAATATTTACATATTAAATCTCTAAATATATTTTTTTAAATTGCATTTCCATTAGCTTCTTTAAGCATTATCTGGGGAAAAAAGTTTTAAATTAAGAGAGTAATAAGTGCTTTAAATCTTAAAAAAAAAAAAATACTACTTTTACTCCTGTTTGGACTTCTGTTGTAAAAGTGGTGCAGTGTGCTTTTCTGCATTCCAGAAATTTCCTGCGAGTCAACAGCTTGATTGATTGATTGATTCATAATTTGTATTGTGTACCAGAAGGGTTGTTCAATTAAAAACTGCTTGCTGCACTTTTAGATCAGGGGGAGGACGTGCAGGTGGAGTCACTGGTGCCAAGTGGGAGCTGCTGGTTGGCTTTGCCCTGCAGCCAAGGGCCTGAGCTGCCCAACGCAGGCTTGAAGGCTGGACATGCAGCCCGGGGCTGAGGGAGCTGCTCTGCTTCCCTGCTCTGGAGGTCACTGCTCCTTGGTGTACAGCAGTCTTCTGGGCAGGATCACCACTGCATATTTGAGGTTATAGAAAGGGAAAGGATCTTCTGAACTTTTATAAAGTGCGTGAGCTTCCCTCCAGAGCAGCCAGTGTTAGTGCCATCAGTATTGCCTGTGCTCGACTGTATTCCTGCTTTCAGTGCTTTGAGAAGAGCACATCTCCACTGCTATTTCTCCTGCAGTGGAGATTGCATCTTGCAGTTCCGCTGCTTGGCTCCTGGAATCAGGATCAGGCCTTAGCAAAAAAAGTCTGTGAAGATGCTCAAGGGCAATTAAAAATTGTGAAGCAAAATCATGATGATTATTAAAAATTCCACTGTTATCATGGAAGGTGTTAGTACTGAATGAGATTAAGAAGTTCTTTTTCTAAGGCAGCCTTGAATTTCTGTTTTTCTTTCATTGCAGAGAGAACAAAAGGTAATTTTTAAATTTTTGCCCACTCAGTCAAGATGCAGACAAACAAATACACACCTTAGATTATTAAACAATTGCTTTTATTTCTTTAGGAACAACAGACATAATGTGCTTTATTTCATGTAAATTCAACTCTCAGTGTTTTCTGTTTCAGGATGGTACCATCTGGGAATTTTAGAAGGGTTTGCTTTGCCTGTTGTGCTTTACAAGCTCAAATCTCTGGCCAAAACATGTTTCTCTTGATGAAGAAGAAGATTCACATATCTCCAGGCAGATGTTTTCCTGCAGGCTTGGCCCTTAGAAGAAAGGAATTTTAAATTCCTGCTTGACTTGGTAAATGTGCTGAGTGGGAGATATATTTATTCAGTGTTTAATAAACTAGTTGGGAACAATGTTTCAGATGAGATAGAGAAAAAAAATTGTAGTTTGAAATGATATTTAGTTTTCCCACTAGAAAATTGGCAGTTAACAACTACATTATTTGTCAAAAAATCTTTCAAGCAAGAAACTAAAGTCAACTCTATTTGCACAAAACTAATGGTCTAACATTGTAAACAATTTTTAATAATTTCTGTCATGCGTAATACATCCCAGAAGCAACATACATTTGAATGCAAAACAAATGTACTTTTAGGAAAGTGAAAATAAACAAAAATAGAGATTTCTGCCAACCTTTCAAGTAATTATTTAGTATGAAAATTTTGGCCATAAAGCTTTAAGACTTGCATTTTGCATTGAAGTTTTCAGTGGAACAGTACAGTTATTGAAGACAGCAAAAAGAGTAAAGAATTTTTTAGTAACAGGGAGCAACAGATTATTTTTTGAGCTGTTTTCATTCCATTATGCATAACTGTTTCAGTTAGGTAAGAATTTTACTAAATAACTGCACCTTTTTATTTACTTTATTTTGCTTTGTCATTAGATTGTGAATTTCATCAGTCAGGACAGTTCCCATTCTTGATCTGCATTATTCCATGGGAGGCATCTAAGTTCTGGGCCACCAAAGCTTCGATCATATTAGAGATGGTGGATGTTTCAGGTGTTGGGCAGGAATGTGGACTCATGCTCACTCAGAAAAGTACTCCTGCCCTTGTGCATGCTTTTAGGCAACTGACTCCTGGCCTGACCTACTCTGGCTCTCAAGGAATGGAATACACTCAGTGCTGGTAGCTCTGTGAGCAGCTGCAGGGCCAGCTCCAGACTGAGCTCTGGTGCTGAGACCCCCCAACAAGAGGCCATGAACTGGAACCAACCTTTGCACAGCCAAGGGCACAGGGAGCTGTGGTGCCAGCCAGGGCACTGGACACTCAGAGACACGGCAGGACCTCAGGACCTCCAGATCTTCCTGCGAGGGTATAAAACCCCAGGTTTTTCTTTGTTTAGATCCCCTTCTTGGCAACACTGAATAACGCAGTAACACTTGAGCTGTTATTCTGTTGTTGCACCATGATTAAAATGTTTGGGGGATCCAGACGTCTGAGTTCCCTGCTATGGGAAACCTGGAGTTGAGCCAAGAGGGAAACCTGGTGTGACTGTGTGAGAGTGGCATGTGTGGCTGCAAAGGGACCTCAGTGCCAGCTTGGGTGGCGTGAGAATAACTGGCAGAGTGGCTTTGAATGGTCAGACAGGAAAGTTTCCTTAACACATCCTTTGGTGGCCTCCAGTTGTGTTGGGTCAGAGCAGAACAGGTCAGGGTGCAATAAAG